CTGCCACGCATCTTTCCGCGTCCACACGTCTAACGCGCACAAAGTACTGCGCCTGCCACGCAATGTCACCTCCGTCACACCTCGCAACCTCACGATTCCCTGCGCCTGCCACGAAAATCACACTTCCATGCCTCAAAACCCGCACAAAGTACTGCGCCTGCCGCGAAAAGTGACAGTATCATCTCATGTGAGCTTCAACAAAATTTGCACCACACCACACGTTTGGAATGATTTCGATCCGTTCTGAGCACACTCCCATCCACCAAAATCGCCATTTCAGCTGGGACTTGTCACGAAAACAGAGCTTCGATGCCACACCCTGAAACGCAAATCCCAATGGCACGGCCACATCCAACACCCCAAAAACACGACTCTCCAAATGCTAATCCCAATGGGACTGCGTAGCAAACTGAGGATCTCACAAAACGCTGCGCCTGTGCAGCGAAATGCATCACGCTTCTTGCGCGACACGTCATTTTCATGCAAATCACAATGGAATAGCGTCGCAAACTGACACGTGACACATCCATGAAAAGTCACTTGCAAAAGCTTCCCCCAATGGCAGCGCCTTAGCGCTCTACTGCGGACGGTTGCCAACGGTTGCGAACATAGAAGCAACGGGTCGCGAACAAAGCTCTACCCCCAGACCCCCAAGAGTTAAACGAGAACCCTTCGCTACGCATTCGGGAAAAAGGGAAGGTCAACGAGCGGCCTCTGGCAAGCTACAGTACTAAATAGCAATGATTGCTTTTGATCTTCTTGGACTGTCGCTGAGTGGGTGGATAGCCCCAGTTCTGCGTGTGTTATATCGCTCCACCCTCCTTGGACAACATTACAATACCATACAAAACCCAATCGACAGAGGGTGAACACATTGATCGGTGAGGACCCGGAACACTGGGAGCCCTACTCTTGCTCAGTGGCTCAGATGTGTAGCCCCATCCAGCCCCCAAGCTGGCAAAAGGAACTTTGAACAATTACCAAAATGTTGTGGGATGCGGAAAAGTTGCACAAACATCCTGAAAGAAGTCCTGAAAGATCATAGATTGGGATTTGGATAGCTTTTCCGTGCCACTTCCGACCCTTTAGGTGGGTGGTTGATCTTTTCTCCCTCTCTCCGGGACCTAGGCACAATCTCTCCAATAGTCTGCTGAGCCCGTAGTATGAAGGTCCTCCGCTTGCTCTGAAGGATCGGGACGGGTTGGGGGGGCTCCTTTTTCAGGCCGATCGAAGCTTTTCGTGCTACCCTGTGCAAACAGTCCCATGCACCTCACAGGTCATGAACCTCTGTACCCAAACGCTCCTGGACCCTCTGGATAGATCGGTGCCTCATATGGAGGGGTCTGGGGGTCTCAAATCCCTTAAGCTTTTTAGGGACTGGTCGGGCTGTTTTCACGAAGCCTCTGGGTAAAACTATTATCATCCACCCAGTGGTTGTCACCTTCCATGTGGTCCTCTGACTGGCCCTCTGCAGGAGCAAAAAGAATGAAAAAGAATCCCACCTCCTTGCACCACACCAAGCTACCAAGTGCAGGAACATGCAACAAACCGTATCGGACCCGCTTGCAGGTCGTTCGGACCCGCTTTCACGGACGAACGCCCTGCAGGGTGATGTAGATGTTCTTGTCGTCCATTCGGTTCCTATCAAGTCACACAGGTCAAAGGGGTCTGACATAGTAGTCTACCCCCAAAATCAATATAAATCAAACCACCTCACACCGGGACGAACCTGCCTGTCCAGGACGAAAAGCAACAACCATCAACAACCAAACAAATGCTATTTAGGCCAAGCCAAGGAAGTGATTCCTCAGCAGATTCCTCACCCGTCCCGGACTTTGAATGCCTGTGCATCAGCCCGGAGTGTGCAAAGCTTCTCGGGGCACAAGGGAGCTGAATCGGGGAAACACAGAACCCACACCCGCAAAGCCGAACCCCCCGCGCGACGCCCGCCAAACACACTGCATCACCCCCCAGGTACTCGCGCGCGCACCTGGTACTCGCTAGCGCGGCGCACCACGCGTTGCAAACTCCGGAGGCGCCGGGCCACGATGGCCAGTTGCAGCTGCGCCAGGGAGACCTCGCCCAGGTCCAGCAGACTCCGGTCTCCCCGGATCCGCAAGTCCTGAGCCGCGCGCGGCCACTGCTATGGGCCGGAAGCAGAAGCTCGAAGAGCCGGGCTCGGGATGGATTCGGATGGATAGAGGAAGCAAGGATGAGAGGTTGGGACTCCAAAAAGTCCTTTTGGACTCAAGAAGGACAGGGCTTTGGACTCCACATGACCCCAACCTCTTAGCGGTCTGGAGCCGAAACCAAAAAGCCAAGGAAAACCCGTCCCGGACTCGATCAAGGGAGTCTCATGAACCAAACGCAAAACACTTCTGGTCCCCTCATGAACTTCCTAAACGCCGAACTCATGAAGAGCTGCTCCGCTTCAACATAATATAGACTGTTGATCAACAACATTCCTTCATCATCCCTCATGAAAATTTGGATTGCAAAAACGTTTCCAAACGGTACGCCGGCTCCACCATCACCGGTCAACCCAACCCTCCCAACCACGGCTCCTCCTCCAACCACGTGAGCCGTGCGAAGAATGCCCTGGTCACCGCCACCAGCTCGTCGGCACAGAGATCCACCAGCGCATAGAGGAGCGCATCGGCGCGGCGTTCCCGCAGCCTCCGCCGACCGCCACAGCACCGCCGACCGCTGCATCGGGCACCGCCGTGCACGCGAACCCACGCACAAGATGCCCAGTTGGGGCGGGGGGGGAATTGGAAGGTGCCGGAGGCTGCTTGTGGATAAAAGAAGAGACATGAAACAATATGAAACATATATGTGCTGAATGGTGCTGATTTAGTTAGTTGTGAATCTGTGATGCTGGAACTCCCACCTGCCTCGCCAAAAGAGGAAGAATGATTCGATCAAAAAACTCGCATCTGCTATCCATCTGTTCGACACCTGTTCGACTTCAGGTGTTCGACTTCAGATGCCCAAGCATTCAGTCCTATCCTGGGTCACCCATGGATTCCCACGGATTCGCCTCGAGCGCGCAGCGTGCAAACGTTGCTGAAGTCGAGGCAGCCAACCAGCTGTGACCTCCACCTGCCGAGGGCATGAAAATCATCAATGTAGATTGTATGTGTTGGGTATATCAACGGTGTATCCCATTACCAGTAACAGTGGTGATTAGTAAAGGCCGTTCTCTGACTGATAATGTCTGATAATTGTTTACCAACTGTTGCATGTAATAAGACAAACCCTATGTATGCCGTGAGTTTGCGAGATGCTGTTCAAAGCCGCCTACAAAACTGCAACTTCCTCGACACGGTCACTGTGTATTCCATGACAGAAGTGAAACAGTGTCAGATTGCAGGTGCCACCGCTGCAGTTCATGCATGAAGCAAAGACATGTTCTGTATGTATTGTTCTATCAAGCCTTGGGCAATGCCTTCTGCGGCATTTTGGCTTTACGCCCATTGGGTTGTGCTCCCATTCGTGCTATATACCAGTGGTAATGAATTACTTGGAGGTTCCTGCCGTCCCAGCGACAAATCCACCATTACCCAAGTGATGCGAGCGACAAGGAACAAAGGCAACAACTTGCCAGTCTTCCAAAATCACACGAAGGTGCAAGGCACTCCCGTTCCAAGCTGGACTTTGTCCAAGGTGGCTCTCAAACAAATGAAAACCCTTGAAAACCAAACCAAAATGATGCAGGTGAACCCCTCGCAGGCCATCTCTTCTGCTCATGGTGACGTTCATTCATTCGACCCGGATTACTTCCACAAGGCTGCTGGATCCGCCTCCAGCGGGTCTTCATGGGGGCACGGATCTCTGGTAGTTCTCTCCATGCCCCAAGCTCCAAGTTCATGCGTCAGAGGGCCATGATGCGTCATCAAACATCTTCAATGCCCTTTTTGGTCTGTTCCAATGCCTTTTTCATCCTTTTTCAAGATGTTTTCAGGTCTCCACGATCCGACGCTTCTTCTGCTTTCCTGGAAAATAGAGCTTCACTTTGTTCGCCCATCTCTTTTGCTTGAAGTGGGGAGGAACAGTTCACCACTCCCATCTACTCCCAGCCACTCCCGCTCTTTGAGCTTCACACGGGAAGGGCAGCCCCACCACCCACCAACCCCGCCACCCGCCCCCCCCAGAGTGAGCGGTGCTTTCGTGGCGCCTGCGGGGCACCCCCGGGCCAGTCTTCCGTGAACTTGCGGTCGGCCTGGCGCTGTGGACCGATCTGATGGGCAGAAGCTTTGGGTCCCCAGACCGATAAGGACGGGGAAGATCTAGATCAAGCCCAGACACTCCATGAGACTGGTATATTTAGAGGGTGGGTGTGCTTGGGAGAGCACACACTAGCTCAAAACCCTTAGAAAACACTGTAGATACCGTGCAAAATTTCAAAAACTGCTCTGAGAACTAGGCGAAACGCAATTTTTTTGATCTGTCTGTGCCCAGTCTCCATGTCCAATGTCAATGACAACAAATAACAGCTCTTCGTCTGCCCACTATCAATGTGCAACACCAATGAGAAAAATTATCAGGTGAATCTCTCTCTGCCCACAATGAATGTAGCATCATGAGCGAATGAAGATATAATACTATACATATCTAGATTCAATAGCTTTCCTCTGGATCTCTGGGAAAGTAGATTTCCTAGATTTGTGTATTTTCATTGAAGGAAAGCATTTGAAAGAAACACTTACATACATACTTATAGCTTTTTTTAAAATACCATGACTATTTCCAGAGATCCAGAGGAAAGCTTTTGAAATGAAAGCTTTATATTTTTTCACAGAAGTGATCAGATCTAGAGGGAACCTTTTGAATTAGAAGTTTGTACATAAAGCAGTTTTAATATAGCAATGAATATTCCAAGGGACTACTTTAAACAAATACTATCTACTCAAAAACATAGTTTGTGTCTTATTCCCAGCACTCCTAGGGCAAAAAACACTGTAAAATATAGGGTTTTGTAACATGTGTGTTCTTAAACTAACTAAACTGGAATCAAAATAGAATTAGGCAAACTTAAACTAGACGATTTCAATCAAGATCCTTTTAACATTGATTGTGGAATTTGCTATTTATTAGATATTAGATTGCAATAAAAATCATTTCCAAGTTCTCGTTAAAACTCTTTGTGGAAACTAGTTCTTACAATTAGATTTTAGTCAAAGTCCTTTTCAAAGTTAGTGGTGGCTTTGATTTAGTATCAGATTGTGTTTAAAGTCGATTTAAGATCAATTGTGGAAATTGTGATGCTTAACTAACTTGAATTGATTTTGTATCTGTTTGCTCCCCACTACAAGGCTACATCAAATAAAAGGACTTTAACTAACATCTAATTATAAGAATTGATTTCCACCATTAACTGTTAACTGAAAGTTAATGTTCACAATCAATTCTAAAAGGGTCTTGATTGATATCCAATACACAAGCAATTCAATCAAATTATGTTGAAAAGAACTTAAACTAAAATCTAAACAACAAACAATTTCCACAATGATTTTGAAAAGGACATTAATTGACATTTAAGTAATGCCTAATTTCTACAATGAAATATAATAGGATTTTAATTGAAATCTAATTCAACATCAATTGCCACAATGATCTTGAAAAGGCATTTAATCGAAGTTGAATTACACATTCATTTTTCTATAATTAATATTGAAGAAATGTTAATTGAAATCTAATATAAACATCAATTTCCCCAATGATTTTGACAATGATATAAATGAAACTTAGTTTGTAAAAAATCTACAATTAATCTTAAACACATGTTTAATAGAAAGCTAATGATACATCAACTTCCACCAATAATTCTGCAAGCGTTTTAATTGAAGTCTAATACAAAAAAAA